CATATCAACTGTAATGTGTAAGGCTACATGTGTATACACAGTGTGATGGCTGACCACAACTCAGCCACCATTCGAGTGCAAGCATTTAACCAGTCCTTTGTTCTCTGATTCTGCTGATCTTATTACTGAAAACCATACTGTCCGCTTCCTTCAATTTGTTGAATCAACCAAGGTAATCTTGCTCCTTCCTTTGTCTTCCCATTACTTCCTTACACTTCAACATGATGAAGACAGAACATATAAGAACAAATATTATATCCTCAAGAAGAAATAGAACCTTGAAGAATCCACAAGAAGCCAATAATAATTGAATGTAGATTAATAAATCAATCAATATTTCTCAAACATCTGTTCAATTCATCGCAAAAGAAGACTCATATAATTCAAAACATTTACCACTCATGATTTACTCACCAACAATCATTGAAGACGGAAGTACTTGAGATACATGCAGAGATGTTTATGTCTCGTGAAGGGCAGGGCAAGTGACCGAGGGGACCCCCAACTACCAGCCTAACCCTTTGCTAAATGTAACTCAGTGCTTCCTGATTTAACTCCTCAAGAAATTACTTTATCAATCATTCCTTCAAACAATTATTCACATATGCAAATTCACTTATATCCAAAGATTTACAGCTCAAGGTTATTCACATTGACTCATGGAAGACGGAAGTACTTGAGATACATGCAGAGATGCTTATGTCTTGTGAAGGGCAGGGCAAGTGACCGAGGGGACCCCAAATACCAGCCTAACCCTTTGCTAAATGTATCTCGGTGCTTCCTGATTTCAATCCTCAAGAAATTACTCAATACTCATTCAATCAATCAATCATTCATAAAATCTCACATTGATTCATTTCCCAAATCAAACATTCAATCCATTAATTACTTGCCTAGCTGGTATGGTGAATGGTGGGGGTAAGACTCCCGTGTCACGAACTAACGTTCGAGAGCCCGGAGTCTTTTGTACACCTGAGGTGTACCTGGTGAGAAGCGTCCCCCCAGTGGTGTGCCTCCTTACGGATGTCAAGAGGCACGGGTTTGGGGAAGCGAAGGGCCCCGGCCCGTGGTTGGTTTGGCTGAACCAACCGTTGGTCTACTAGGACCAATCACGGGTCGGGAGCCCTCCAATGGGTCGGAGGGTGGGACGTGTCACCTTGCCGGGCGGGTGGGGTGGAGCGCAAAAAGGTGACGAGTACACACAGATGAGTTGTGTGTGAAGTGAGGCGTGGAGATGCTTGCGGCGAGACGTGATCAGGTGAGGGTGGGAGACTTGGAGTCAGGAGTGAGTGGTAGGCGGATGAAAATCTTCAGCCGCTCACCTGTCACGGGTCGCGCGCAAGATCTCATGGACAATCGAACCACCTGTGTTATGGTGTTTCGTGTCATCCATTCATTACTTGCCTAGCTGGTATGGTGAATGGTGGGGGTAAGACTCCCGTGTCACGAACTAACGTTCGAGAGCCCGGAGTCTTTTGTACACCTGAGGTGTACCTGGTGAGAAGCGTCCCCCCAGTGGTGTGCCTCCTTACGGATGTCAAGAGGCACGGGTTTGGGGAAGCGAAGGGCCCCGGCCCGTGGTTGGTTTGGCTGAACCAACCGTTGGTCTACTAGGACCAATCACGGGTCGGGAGCCCTCTGTCTGGGGTCCCTGTGGTGTGTGAGGTAGGAGCGTCCCGGTGCGGTTTGTATGAGAAACTCCCGCCCCTCTCGGTGCCCTGCCCAAGCGCCGTGAGCCCATACAGGGTGCACCGCCCTCAACGCTCCGCACTGGCACCGCAGATCTGCACCTTTTGGGAACAAGGTTTTCCTTGTATGTGGCTGGAGCTGAGAACTGTGGAGACGCCTCGTGGCGATCATTCCTTGAGCTCGAACTACGGCTAGGACTCTTTTTTACCTCGTGTTCGCGCGTTACCAGCCCCCTCCTGTGACTCTCATCAGATCAAAAGGCTAGTGGAACGGTGCTCGACTCAAACTAGTATGTATTCAATTTCCTTGCAACTCTCGCTCCGCCCACTCTGGGTCTTTTATAGCTTCTAAGAACTTTCTAGTGTCTAACACCTCATGTTCGTCGTATGTCTTCAATTAGCGTAGGTATGCATTAGAGGTCCATCGTCCCTGTTTGGCAATCTTCTCCAACGGCATCTCGAGATTGAAGCGCAACAAGGCACCTCCCACTCGGAAGGAGTGGCCACTCCATGACGACAGGCTTGCCTTTCCCCATATTTTCCCTACCGCGTTCAGGAAACGTGTCTTTGTCAGCGGGTTCTGTCGACCGTCTACCTCGGTTGAGAACAGGATGCTATCTGGGTCTCGATGAGGGTGTCGCTCCATCCATCGCCGTAAGGCCACCACCGGGTCGAGTACGTTTAGCTGCTGTTGAAGGTGGATGATTTGAACCTCGCCTGGTCTGGCGGTTTTCGCCTTGCGCAGGTGCAGCTTTGCAAAGTTGGTACCTCTCTTTGAACCGAACTTGACGTGCCTGCGTAGTAGGGCCCCGCTTTCGGCGGATGCTCTCAAGAGTTCTCCAAGCCTGGCCATTCCCCAGAAGGCGATCAGGCCAATCGTACCGACTAACTGGTCCGTTTCTGAACCGTCGTGTGTTGCCTCCAGTAAGGTGAATAACTGTCTTATCATGATCGGGTTCTTGATGGTGACTAACTGCTTTTCCTCTTCCCTTCTTTTTGTCGCTGTCAGCAGGGTTTTAACCATTTCGGGGTCTGTGGTGGGTCTCGCTGTGTGTCGGACCATCTGCCAAGCTCTGATTCCGTGTAAGTACTTCTTGATCGTGATGGAGCTGATCAGCTTAACCGGCTTGTCTTCAGAGTCGGCTCCTGACTCTCCCGCCCAGGCTATGAAGTCGTACAATTCGTCGTTTGAGACCCGTTTGTCAGGGTCGAAAAATCCCTCTGTTCGTTCCTTGAACTCTTTGAACTTCGCCACCCCGGAGCCGTACCCAGCGAGGGTTGTCTTGGCCCAGCTACCTGACGCCGCGTGACGACCTGCTCTGGATGCCCCTGTAAGGGCTTGTTGGAAGTGTTTTGGTAGTTCCGCCATGGTATATCGCTGTGCGTCGTTGGGTTTTTGGTTGTGTCTTGGTGTGGCAGCCTCGCCGTGGTTTATCGTTCCTGGATGAGGAACTCCCGGAGGTCGATCGGCAATCGCACCCATACCATATCCGAGACGTGTTTCTTCGTGTCAAGACCCCTCGACAGACGGTCGGCCGCGTTACCCTCTGATGAAACCCTTCTGACCTCTATGCAGGAGTGGTCTGCCAGGAGTAGGTCTTGAATTTTCTGCCATTCGTCGTTAACGCCCTTGTCTCGGGACTTCCCGTTTCTGATCGCGTTTTCTGTTACAGTGTTATCTGTCAACATCAAGAAGCGCTTTCCTTCAACACCATGGAGCGATTTCAGCATCAGGTACCCTATTCGCACAGCGGCTGTCTCAGCCCAGGCTATGCCCCTCTTCCAGCCTCCGCTCGTCACCCTGTTCCAGCACCTCCTTAATCTAAACTTGGCCCAGCGCTTTCCGACTATGATCCCTAGGCCGTATGTCGTCGAGGCGTCTCCCACCCAGCCGACGTTCAGGATCTCTGGGTTTGGGATCAGTCTGCGTGGGTTAGCGGTCGTGAGAACCTTCACCCAGATTCGGAGGTCCCTGGAGACTGATTCCGGTATGTCTCGACGAGCCGAGTGGTGGACCCATTCGGCCATCCAGTGGTGAATGTCTACTGTGTAGCATAACAAGTGAGGGAATACCATCGCCGAGTGGTTTAACCTACCTGCAAGCTTCTGGACTGGCTTGAAAGTGTGTGCTTTCTCTTCTAAAAAGGAGATAATCTCTGCTACTCGTTGATCGATCTTTCCCTGGGGTAATCTGACGGTTTTCTCTGATCCGTTCAAGATGAAACCGAGATACTTTTGCTCCACGGCGAAATCACTCGCTTTCTCCGTGTTCTCCACCACTCCTAGCTCTCTACTGAGCGTCGATATGTTCTCCAGGCTCACTTCCGTGTCGTTGTGTTTCTTGACAAACATGGTGTCGTCCACCCAGCGGAAGGCGGCTAACAATGGGAATTTGGCCATCACGATGGCTTTCCAGGTGTCGGCTACTCTCCCAAAAACGCCGCAACCTGCCACTCCCCCAAAAGTGATTCTGGTGTCTAGTAATACGCGATCGTTCAGTGTTCTGATCATCAAGAACCGCCATTGGCCTGGCGCGGTTGGAATCTGTCGGTACGCCTTTGCCCAGTCGAATATGGCAAGGACGACTCTACCGGTTATTGAGCTAAGGTATCTTGCCACAATCTGGAAGCTATCCCAGGTTGTCTCGAAATCATGTTTATTCACCCCTTTGTTGACTGACTTTATGGATCTGTCGTTCTGCGGGAAAGACAGGTCGTTTATCGGCCGTGTCGAGCCGTTTCCGTTCACGACTGCCCCCAGGGGGCTTGTTCTGAAGAATCCGAAGTACTCGTGAGCTTCTTCGATTGTGAAAGGGCCTGCCATCCGGCCTGCCGCCAGCTCCTCTTCGAAGTTGGCTGAGATCTTCTCCCTCACTGCTTCTGCTGACGAGTGATTAGGCGGGCAGTAGAACCGGACATTTGGAACCACGGCATCTCTGATGCCCTGGTCGAACCCAAACTCCAGGCCTGTCAGCACGTCACTGTGTGACTGGAGGAGGCCGGCCTTAATTAGCTCTCTTCGCCACGCTGGCAGGTTCATCTCGCATGAGGCTCGAGTTGGCCACCGCCTCGTGTGTGACGGGTCTGGAGATGGCATGGTTTGAACTCGCGCAACCTGCTGTGGCACCTCTCTCTCAGGTCTGGGGGAGGGGGTGGTCGTTGGTACAACGGGTCATGAACAAGAACCTGGTAAGTATTCTGTTGATCTCTTCACGAGAGGGGGGGGGGGCGCATTGTATCGCTATTTGTCTCTGTTGACTCAAGGTCGCATGACTTGGATGCTGATACTTTCAAATTCTCACTACTAAAGGGCTTACACGATGCGACCCTTCCCTTTCCCTCTTCTGCCCCTCGGGCTACGGCTTCTCGAGCGGCTCTGACAACGGTACTTCGACCTGTCTTCCCTCTCCCTATAATTACGGTCATAACCGCGATCGTAGTCTCGATCTCTGTCTCCTCGTTCACGGCTCCCGTAACTCTCGCCTGTACGTCTCTTGGCGGATCCACCGTAACGTCGGTTTGTCGCAGCTTTCCTCTCTGAGTCTGACATCAATTTCCACTCGCTGGAGGGTATCCATGTCTCTCCTGTCGGTCTTGGGTAGTCTGCTTTTGCGCTTCTAGCGGTAATACCCAAGGTCGGCGTCTTCTTTGTCAGGGTTGAGGAGGATGTGGCCGAGGCACGCGGTTGGTTGGTTAGCGGGTTGATGTGAGTGAGGGGGCCTCCCGGTGCGTAAGGGTTGGTGCGGTATGCCCTCTCTTGATTGGCGTCTGCTGTGAGTCTAGCTTCCTCGAAAATCGCCGATTGTAGTTTGCTAAAGTTTTTGATGCGATTGTCGGTCGTTTCGCGCATCACTCCTTGCCGGACTCTTCTACAGTAACGCAGGGCAATCATCCACCCGTAGTTCTCTCGCAGGTCGATAACTACCGACCTGTGACCCTCAAAGCGACTTGCCAGGGTGGGCCACCCTGCCTCTGCGACGTACTTTATAAATAAAGCAATGCTGTCTATCCACTCCTCGAACTGCATTAGCAGTTCCTCCGGGGGGGAGAGCCGCCGTAGACTCTTAAAGATGCCGAGCCATCGTCGATACGGGACTCCGTTGGGGCTTTCCTGCGCCCCCATTCGATTTGGTCCTCAACCAAGAAGTATTTGTTGAACACCGTCAAGGGGATGTACGACTTGAAGGTCTTTAGCCAGTGAGATAGAACTGGTGACAGGAGGGTGAGTGTTTTGTCCATTTCCTCCGTAGTGTCCGCTACCAGCAACCGGCCGTTTTCCACCACATCACCGTTTCGAAGCACCAGGCGGCCTTTTTTTGAGGTCATCAGGGATTTCACGAGCTCCGCCTCTTCTTTGTCTGACAGGGGGTGTGACGGCGCGTCGAGTACGTGTGGGATCGCGTTCGATGGCCGAGAATGGTAGGGATCTCCGGCTAGTTGCCTGGGTACGACGGGTGTAGGGGGGACCCTTGGCAACGTTGGTCTCTGGTCGACGACTTGGGTGGCCGGTCGTAGGATTGCCGCCTGTCGAGCTTGTGGGGCCTCCCGTCGATTGGTGTGGGTCCGTTTTGCCAAGGGCTCCATGTCGCCTTCATCCGAGCTTGACGGTAGATCTGCAATCAGAGCGTAGGGCCGTGCATGTGGGAGGCCGCTGCCGCTGGCTACCGGTGCCGCTTGACGGAGTCCACTGCCTCCTGCCACTGGGGGTCTGCTCGTCCTAGTCGAGGCTCTATCGGACGTCGTCTCCATCAGGTATTTCAGTAAGGTGGCGCCTTCTGCGTATCTGCCCTCGTTGTATAGCTGGATCACCCTTGTGTTCGGGTCCGCTGGGCAATCTGTTGCACGATGGGGGGATGATCGAAATTTGGTACAGTCAGATTCTCCGTTACTGCGTCTCCTATGGATATGGAGGTCTACGCTAATCGGATCGTGATAGTCTGCCACCCTCAGAACAGGATCTGTGGCCTATCGTCTCATTGTTCCTTCTTTCTACGGCCCCCCCTTCACGGGATCTTGGGGATCTGCCGAGCTACGCGAGCAATCTTGTAGGATGTGTTATCCGGGCCGGAAGGCATACTCCCCTTTGGGGTGTGATTTGTGCGAGGGAGCTGTATCTAGGGAGCGAGGCAGAGGAAGGAGGAGAAAAAGGAGGGGGCCGACGGAAATTAGGCTTACCTAGGTGTTTATACCGGCTTGTCGGACTAGACGGCGACTGTGATGGTGTAGGGCTTGTGATTGTGGAGGCCCGTTCCTGCCCCTTGTCGACTGGTGGATGCCAAGAAATTCCGTCGTCTGATTCGGAATCTAGAAGTGAGCCGTTCAACAGCTGTGTGCCATCTAGGTGGGTGTCCTCTAGGGTTTCCCCGGTACCGTCCTCTTGGTTTGGATCTAGCGGGGTGCCGTCGACGTCTCCTGTCTCGTCGATCGTCTCGAGGTTCTTCCTATTGTTGCCTCGCCTTGGAGTCCCTAGAGGGGGGCCTGGCGGTTGTCCAAGGGCGACTGACTTAGACCGGGTGATCGTGAGCTGCGCCGCTCTCTCCGCTGCCAATCTTACTGCTTCGTCCATTCCTAGCGCAAAAAGGTGACGAGTACACACAGATGAGTTGTGTGTGAAGTGAGGCGTGGAGATGCTTGCGGCGAGACGTGATCAGGTGAGGGTGGGAGACTTGGAGTCAGGAGTGAGTGGTAGGCGGATGAAAATCTTCAGCCGCTCACCTGTCACTCGTCACCTGTCACGGGTCGCGCGCAAGATCTCATGGACAATCGAACCACCTGTGTTATGGTGGTTCGTGTCATCCATCAAATATTCAATCACTCAATGTTTATTCACTTTGATCATTATTTCACGGCATCCCCACACAAATTCCAAAATCTTGAAGTGTTGAACATACCACTAATCAAAACAATGTTTTTTTCTGTAGATGCCAAAACCAGTATCAGACCTCTGCAAGCAAAAGTTGGTCAAGTACCAAAAGCGGAAGAAGGCTCAACAACACAATGCCCAACGGGATCCAGTCCGGGATGTTGGAAGAGAACATGTCAGTCAAAGAATCAAAGCAAAAATCAAAGGCCGGTTTGGCTTGCCAGAGGACTGTGACTGTCAATACCCAACCCACCCCCTGAAGATCCGCAACCTTTATTCTTCCGTCATAGTGTTTATGAGACCAATGACTGAGACCTTGCATCACCTCATTGACCAAAGGAATATCAGAATCACAGAGTTCAAAGTTGTGATTGCTGGTATACTTGCGGTATTGTGTAATGTCAAGTACTTCTTCCAGGATATAAGCACATTCTGTTGTAGCACTGCTTTGGCATTGATGACCTTGAGGTTGGCAGGGCGGGGTTGGGAAGATTGGGTTGGGCCTGACGGGGTTGAGAAGATTGAGGAACTATTTTGTTTTGGTCCGCATTGATGTTTTCAAGGCACGGTTCACATATTTGCTGTCTGCCTTGACGGAGAGTATTTTGACACAAGGGACAATTGGGACGGTTCATGATGTTGAAAGACAAAGCTCTGAGAAAAAAAAAAAGAAGATTGAAGCTGATCAAATAAGATGGAAGGCAATCAAAGAAGATTGAAGAAGATTGGAGCCAATTGAAGCCAATTGAAGAATACTAAAGAAGAAGATTGAAGCTGATCGAAGAATACTCAAGAAGATTGAAGCCGATTGAAGAATACTCAAGAAGATTGAAGCCGATCGAAGAATACTCAAGAAGATTGAAGCCAATCAAAGAAGGATGAAGAAGAGTGAAGACAATCAAAGAATATTACATAAGATTGAAGCCGATTGAAGAATACTAAGGAAGATTGACGCTGGTAAAAGAAGATTACAGAGGATTGAAGCCAATCCAAGAAGATTGAAGAAGGGTGAAGACGGTCAAAGAAGGATGAAGAAGAGTGAAGACAATCAAATAAGGATGAAGAAGAGTGGAGACGATCAAAGAAGTTCAGTGTAGTGTAGGTTTTGTTGAACAAGTGGATGGGTGGTGACTATGACAAAAGTTGGAAGAATGACTAAGATGATTGGTGATGGTGTGTGGGTTGTGTGATTGGTTGAGAGGTAGAGAGGTTGAGAGGTGGTTTGTACACTTTCCATCATCTAATGTGAAGTTTTCATCTTTGGGGTCCTTGTTTATGGTTTGTTAATTGTCGTTTTTTGATTATCGACATTTTTTTCTTGATTTTCAACTTTTGTTTTTTTGTTTTTTGAATTTTGATTTCCTCTTTTGTGGCTTTCCGGGTACTTTTTGTGTCAATGCGACAATGGGGTGACAAATGTTGAGTTTCAAGTTGTAAATCTACTGAAATTTGGGCCGTAACCTGGTCTGAAAGGGGTTTCTGCCATGACTTTTACTCCAGTACAGGGGTTTTTGCCCTGTATTTGAGTATTTTCTGTAGTTTTGTCTTTGATTTTTGATTTTCGCACCTGGGAATTGTGATTTTTGTTTTTTGATTTTTGCATTGTCACCTTGACACATCTTGCATTCCGTAAAAAAACAATGATCAATCATCTTTGAAAAAAACAATCATTCAAACTTTTTTGACAAACTTGTGATTATCCTGGCCTTCATCAATGCATCAATGTTATCATCACTCTCTATCTTTGCTATTGCATAGAGGCTGATTGAGTCCACTGTTGAGCAAGGTGCTTCAATACATACCCAAGCTCGTCGTTTCAAGTCTATGGGACTAGCCAGGTCAACCTGCAAGATTCAACCAAAACGTCAAACCTGGCAGGTTGACAAATTTGGCTGGCCAACCTCGAGGTAGACACCTCAAAGGTTGCCCGCGGCTTCTGTACTGAACAGCAGAACTTCAAGTGTACACTTCAAACTGCCTTGAAGTGTACGCCTGATATTTTGGCTGGGTCAACCTGTGAGGTTGGAGGCCACCAAACGGACTCTAATGCTGGAGTGGGCAGGTCTAGGGGGAGCGGAGTCAAGGAGTGAAAATCCTTGCTCTCTCACCCCGGGCTTCTCTAAAGCCATGATGCTGTAGAAGCACAGGCATGGCTTGTGGTCTCACAGCCTTACACCCGTGACCTGGTTCTCCCTCTCTGAGAGCATCTGCAATTGTTTGCGGTAACTTTGGCGTTAGTTAACCTAAATTTAACAATCTGTAGCCAGGGTCAACTATTTTCACACCAAATCCCACAGTCGTTGCCTTTAACTTGAAGTTAAAGAAAGCTAAACTCCAAGTTAAAGACTGGGCCTACAGTTGTCAGCTCTAGCTTGGAGCTAATCAATCCTCAAATTCAAGGCAACACACCTGAACACACAGATGCATATTTTTTCATTGCTCACATGCTCAACAATGTCAAATTTGACACACACTGACTTTTTGCCTTATCATCAAAGGATCATGTTTTTGATTGTTCCTGTGCTCAACTTGTAGCATGTATAACCAATCAACATGAATTTGAATTCTTGCTTTCCATTGTTGGCTTAACATGTCTTAGGATTGACTGTTACAGACATACAGCCACACTATAAGATTAATAATATACAGACATCAATGCTAGAAGAAATGATTAGTAAGCGAATGAGAATGGAGATTGAAATCAATGGCTGAAAGTGAAAGGAATGCTGTGAAAAAGATGAGTGATGTGATGGTTGCGCACAGGGAGAAGGTGGTGTTTGTGAATGTTGTAGTGAGAGGTAGTTGATGATGATGTTTAGAGTGGTGTTGAATGATGAATGAAAACTGGAGCGAGGTGTGAGATTTGGATGAAGATCGAAGTTGAAGTCAAGGATTTGTATGGGGTTGACGGTGGATGACTGATTGAGTGATGTTGCATTGGTGTGAGGTCAAGATTGAAGTTAGCTAACGCGTCGGTATGCTGGGATAACTTTGTCCCAGCCTACTGATTTTTTGTCGCAAAGCTAACTAACAATCAGTTAAAATTTGACCATTGTGGAAATTTCAAAATTGGTGAGTTAAATAGTTAGCTATTCCCGCAACTTAACCCAACAATTGTGGATGCTCTAACGGACTAAAGAGATACCACCGCAGGCTTGGGGTACTCCAATAATACAACAAGACCAGGCTGGTTGATTTTTATCTTGTGACATTTTTGACCCATGCTGGGCAGCTGTTTGGGATATTGCTCTGGATGCTGTGGTGGAAAAGTATTTCTTTGCTCATCAAATTAATGTAAACTAAAATCAAAAATCCAAATATAAAAATACACTGAGTGTGAGATATTCTTGTATTCATGAAAAGAAGATTCACTTGGTCAGGGTAAGCAACAGTTAAGTCATTATGTACCTTAAGCTACTCCTGTTTGCTCATACTCCACTTCATAGAAAACTGTTCAATTGGTGTGCTTGTCCAAACCATCTATTGTAGTAAAAAGAAAGAATAAGATCTCAAGTTCAAATGCCACAAGTTAATATTCATTCACTAGCTCAAGTTAGTGTTTTAACCTCAATCTGCAATTTGACTTGCTTTGGTTACCAATATAAGCAATATAGGGGCAAAAATCTGGTCATCTATTATTGGAGGTGTAATTATGTACAAAATTTACCTAGACCTGTCTTTGGCAGTGTGTCCATCTCTTTTAAGATTTGGCGGTTTCAAGCAACAAATTGGTCAATGACTGAAATTTCTGTTTGTTCACAAATGTTTCACTCTTGGAGCTGCTCTCTCAGCAGTTTTGTTCTCACTTCAATCAAGTCCAACCTCTCAATCTCAACTCTTCAGACAATCCTTGAGCTCAGCTTTCTTATCACCTTTTCAGAAGAAATAGAGGAGAATACAACAATTTGAATGTTGGAGATGAGATGAAGGCGCTTAATAAACAATTCGGGATTGCTCATGGGATTTCTAGTTCTCTTAATGCGTTTGGACATTTGGTTCCTAGTGTGTTTGTCTGTCTTTGGGTCGGAGAACATGGTTTCTCTTGAAGATTTGTGATGCTTTGATGGTTATCGACACCCGAAACTTTCAACTATTTTCAATCTGTTCAACATCAAAAAAATCGGCCTCCTTTCATTCTTTCTGTTGTCTCTATTTCTCACGAGCTCGCGGGCTCGTTCTGGCTTGTGCCGGCTCGTCTCACTGTGGTCGCAATTTAAGTCTTTTCTCTGAATTTTGATCGGCGTGTGTGCCCCTTGTGCCAAATATCTTCGAAGGTTTTTTTGATCATGATTCAACTTCTGCGGTAATGTTTGAATCTTTCGTGGGTCTTTGGGATCTTTCAAATGTCAGATTATTCCAGAGCGCTGGTGAGAATGCTCAAACATGCATGCTATTTCCCACCAGATTTTTTGGATTTGGAAGGACATCATCCAATTTATGTGCTGAGAGTTGAAGACACTTTGTCTCGGTCTTCGTTCAATTTGAGAGCAAATGCACAACGATGAGAAGAAACCGAGCACCGTTGACCCTTTTCAAACCTACGTATAGATGCCATCAAATTGCGCTGAGTTGGAGTCACACTCACTGTCTCTGACTCAACTCGCCGCACATAAAATGGGGTAACGTCTGCAGCGTTGGCTAACGCGCAACGCCAAAGTCAGTCACTTTGCACCATCGAAGTGATCCGTGGCGCTGCCCAGCCAAAGCTTTTCGTATCACACGTAGAAAAATCTGGGCAGCTGGCAGCCGGGCAGCCGGGCAGCTTGTGAGGTGCAACACAGCCTCTCGTCCACGTCATCAGATATAAACCTGCGGAGTGACATGAGAAGGATGATGGCATGTTTGAATGATCATAATTCATTTGAAAGAATTGATTTCTCGTTTCCGGTTTTCCTTTGTACCCCTATTTTGGTTTAAGACGGAATCTGAGTGAAAGTGCGTGGTTTAACATATCACCGAGATAGATTTCAAACAGCCTCACGTGCTTCCTTTCACTCGATGCGGTGTAGAACAGTGAGCACTCGACAAGCAGAGCCTCAACGAGCGGAAAGATGTGAGAGGTATGATGCACTGTTTAACAAGAGCGCTGAACGAGCCAATTTTGCAAGCAAAACCAGCTCGGTCGCGTGTCTCAGACCCTCGGAGTGCACTCGTATATGTATACTCGTGACAATTTGTCACCGACCTGTGACAGTTTGTCATGCACACATGACACGAGTGCACTACGAGAGTCTGAGTGTTACGGTGGCAGTGCATACTCAGGCCTGAGTGACGGTCTTATTCCTCCCGGTGAGCCGAGCTCAAACCTGATTCAACAGGACTCGACGATCTCCAAGCAGGAGTCTGGCAGGCAGCACCAGTGGGATATTCCCACCAATGTCGGGTGAGGAGATTTCTACCTGCTTGTCAGGTAACGGCTTGGAACGCGCCGAGAAGAATGGGGACGAGAGAGAAGGGACGAGAGTCTTGAAAGAGTATGCCGGCAGCCTCGTCACTCAATCTCATCACTCAAGGTGACGAAAGGATTCGGCTATAAAAGCAGCACCTCCGGCTTGTTTCTGTTCCTCACTCCTCATCCACTTCACTCATCATTACACAAGTCTCATTAAAACCGTGCTAGCCTTACGACCTTTTACTATCAACTCTTAAAACCTGCACTTAGTCTTTAATAAACCTTTTTACGAACCAATCTCATCATGCATTTTACACTCCCACTCTTAGCTTTGTTGTGTGTCTTCCAGGCTGTTGTGGCTTTACCTACCCGATCTTCTGGTCTTGATACTGCCGCTGATTTGAGTCGTCGAGCTGGAAGTGAGGAGGTTGTTGCGGGTGGCAACGTCAAGGAGAAATCTATTGAACAAAAGTGTTTTGGCGGTATCAACAATATTTGGGGAGGCAATTTTCCATTCACTTACAATTACTATAACAGCCTTATGTATCAAAATGGGTTCTCCGGTCTTTGTAACTCTTACTTTGGGGGTGGTTTCCAATGGGGTACCTGCGGTTCGTACTTGGGATGCCCAGGTGCCGTCAACACATTTTACAACTCCTACCTCAGTGGATTCAACGGTATTGGCTCCCCTTCCATATTCGGCTTGAATGACAAAGACTTGAAATCAGTAAGTCTTCCGATACATTTCCTTTTTGATCCTATGTTTTTATGAATCCTGACCTCTCCCCCTGCTGTCTACTTTGCATTTTAGGACAAGAATGCTGTTTGAGCGGTCGGATTAATCGTTTTATGACTTTTCCTGGAATTTTATGATGGTTTGTTATAGATCATCCACTACTTTGTAGTTCGTTCTTATGCTGAATTTGTTTTTTGACCTTATGCTCCAGAATTTATCTTATGAACTCGAAAGATTTTGATGTGATACGATGAACGATTTTGTTTTGTTTCTGTTTTCTTCTTCTCTGTAATGCGCTGTTCTCCCTCGAAGTGTTTCACTATGTAGTACAAACCTTCTTGCCCGACACGCCTATAAGTTAGTTCAAGTTTTTGTTTTGTTTTGTCTAGCTGCTTGTGATTGATAATTCATCGGCAGACATGCGCTCGTGGACTACAAAACCTTGACATCATCTCAATGATGCGATTATGCGGTGCCTACATTTGACCTCATGCGCGTACTTTCCTAACATCTTCAATCTTTGTGATTGCCAAAAGATTTTAAACAGTACACCCTGCCGAGATGTGAAAGATCCATCCTTGCCTTAAAAGCCCTTTCTTGTTTTCGCGTTGATGAGATCATTGAACAATCTCGAATACGTACACTCACTTTAATCGTTGCTACTCGGATGCTTTAACTGAGTATCTCTAGAATAATCTTGACTACCTTACGAACAAGCTCTCGATTCGTATGATGCATCAAGACAGGCTAGAACCACTTGAGATTGCTACCTAGTGGGACGGTCTCAAGAACTTCATTTCTGAAAGCCAAGCGAGTCGATCATGAAGGGATTGTACGATGACAGCCTCAAGAAGTTCCATTCTATTTGGCTGACACTCCGTTATGTCGGTCCGTGTGAGGTGTTTATAATATATACTTCATCACAGTCGATGTGATGTGATTTATGTATTGGTTCAAGTGGAGTTCGCTATCAAGAATCAGCTCGAGCTGAGGTCGTGGTCCCGAGGAGGTGACTTTTTCATGACATGTGTCACGGAAAAGTCATGGCAGCTGTCGAGTGGAGATCAGTGTCCCTTTCACCAACCTCAACTCCCTTGTGTCCTCTCCATGCCATCCTTCCTCTGATCCTCAACTCGTGTTACAATCCCTTAACCATGAAATCATACGTTTTCACCGTTTTTCTGAAGAGATCAGTCCGTTAGCCTGGCCATTGGCAAGATAGGTGTGTGGTCATCGAGGTATGATGGAAAGTAAACGAATTTTCATCTTGAGATACCTGTCAAAATCAAAGTTTTTGTCAGTGTTTGTATCTGCGTGTCCCTGCTCAGCGCACGGACCCCGAGCTCAGCTCGAGATTTTGCATTTTTCCAACATTTCTGAGAACGACTGTATTGGTTCAAGTGGAGTTCGCTATCAAGAATCAGCTCGGACCACTGATCACGAATTGACGCATAGGAGAACCTGTGTACTAGTGTATAAATGATCGGTTGATGTACCCAGTTTGAATGATGTCGTGACATGCTGTTCTTAGAGTGTGATTAATGAGGATTAATGCCTATGAGTTTCTGGTTGTACCATATATCCCATCTTCCAAGCTTATCAAGGCTCAAGCCGAGGCCCAGGGATAAAGAGCGGAAGGCTAGAACCTCCTCATCGTAATTTCAAGAAGCTGATATGTATCTTTTGTAAGACAAACTTCATCATACGCGTTGACGCCATTCCTCGCATATTTAGGGACAGTAAGACGTATCACCTTAATCTGACTGTTCCAAATTCGGTAATACGAACAGCTCAGCTGGTGGAACTTTGTTACCCGTGCTTGATATCCTCATTACAGAGATAATATCATCGACGTAATAGCAAGGAATGTGTTAGCCACCTTCGATATCCTCGACAGCGCTCGCCAGTTTTCATCATGACGTTCAGCTTTGACATCTCGGGATCGTCTTGTCATCAAATAATGCGGATCGTGCACCGATAAACGCGCGATTGCGTTGCGGAGCTTCATCTCGACATGCCTGATCTCGACCACCTTTAGCTTGAAACCGAATTCCATTTCTTATACTTGAACTCTAGCATGATTTTCTTCTTCCACTGGCTTGAATTCCCTCAAGTCCATTTGACGTAAGACTTAAAAACAATCTCGCACGACTCTTAGCACTTCCGTTTCATCATGTTTATTGGCTTTGACGTGCCACCGGATTCGACTGTGGTGAATTGGGAAGAAATCCGAAACTACGGATTGATGAACATCAGTCCACACCCTTCCAGGAGCCAGAAGATGCGCTTTCGTCTTCTCGCTGGCGGTATGGTCATCATGACGCTGTTATATACAATAAACTTGTTCAAAGCCATGATCGATAAACAACTCTGGTTCTTCAAGACTGATAAATTAGGATATTGTCGACCGAATATCCATACTCTCTTACCACTGTTGTCTTGTATCGAGTGTATGCGTGAGTCGGGCTTGTGTTTCTTTCTTCCGAAACCTTTATTTGTTTCTATCAAAAAGCTAATGAATTTCCTGTGTGGTCCTAAAGTCGTCTTCGTCTCTATCGTTTTGTTAGAAAGGGATTACCAGGGCTATTTACATGTGTCCACGGTTTTTACTCTTCTTCTCTCATATACTTTTTTACATTTTGGCATTGTGACCCGTAGTAAGTGAATGATCACAGTGACCCTGCTTGAATTTTACTTACCCCATTTCTTTTCAACCGTTGCTGACAGCTTGGAGAATTTTGGCAAGTTTGCCTAGGACCTCAATTGAGCTCGGTGATAATCAAGCGGATCACCGGTCATCGATATCACCCCGCAAGTTCAACACTCTGATATGCCTACTATATTTTTCATTTCCTGTGGTCTTTATTCCACTACATATTTGGATGTCTTTAAATTCCTCCAAGGTCGGAAGACTATGGTTTCAAGTCATGCCTGTTTTGGACAACCTAATTCTCTTCAATCAAGGCACGATGAGTCAATCTCAGATTCAAGAGCTCAGTGGAACTGCTGAAGGAATGCTTAACACAGTACAAAATCCTTACATCCTCGCTATCCTCTTGTGGCGTATTGCTCCTCTTGTGGCGTATTGCTAGTGGTATCTACATGTTATTCATCACGGCTGAGATAGCTGTTTTCACTTACGCGTCTATCAGGCTTTTGAAGGCCTTGGGGAAACGACTTCGGGTAATTAGTCATGCCAAGGCTAACGCCGCTCAACTAGCAACCATCGATATTCACATGCAAGCGAGCCTCGTCAACATCACAGAGGTTTCACATCAAACTTTGGATCCCAGTCATCCAAAAAAAAACAGCGGCTTGGTGGTGGATGTGACTTACTTCGAATGATGACATTGAGCTGAGTGTGTGGAATGATATGGATAACGTGGTATTCAGCGAAGTGAGGTATCTAGAGGAGAATTATGGGATCATAAATCGCTATCGTCATGTGATTCTTTTTCAGTTGATTCTTTGTGGTATAGTGAAGGTGTCATTTTGGATCCTGGGCGCTCTGGTTGGTAAGCATCCATCTCTATATATCAACAAAATTTGAGCGGTACATCTATTGATCGTATCTTTCGGATCTCCACGATATGTATCATAGCTTTCAATGTATTTGAAGCTGTGTACGAAACTCCTGCAATAGATATTTTGTTGATTGTCTATGAATGGTCAAACTGGACTTGGGGAGCTCCCGGTATTTTACGGGATCGTAGATTTTTCCGAACATCCATTTCCGAACATTATTGTTCGGAAATCGTGTTGTTCTGAAAATTAAAGATTTCCGGGGGTATTCTATAATTTTCCATACAAACTTCAAAAATTTGAAGTTCGCAAAATAAAGTATGTAAAAGATGCATCGTAAAAATGAATCTTCAACACAACAATATTTAATTTTGCGATTGATATTTTGCGCGCTATATACTCCGTAAAATAATTAGCACGCAAATTTGTAAAATGTCGACTAAATTTATAAATTTACATCCATTCTTTTCCGATGTTTTTGAGACTCGGAAAAGAAACTTCGCAAAAGTGTAAATTTTCACAACCAACATATAATTTTACGCACAAAGTTTTACGGTCAAAAAGAAAAAACTTTGTGCTAAGAGGCAAAAACAACAAAGAACCGCCTGTCACCTCTTACTCTTGATACGTTTGGACCTCCGATTATTGTCATTCATTTCTTCATTGTCTTCAGCCTCCTCCAGCCCTTTTGGGCTTTTATTTTCCTCTTCCTCTTGATCCATGATTACCCAACCTTTCCATTTCGGTTTGGTTGGTTTGTCATTGTTCGAGCGCGCTACAACCAAACAATATATTAATTAACATAAGCGCCAGTATTAATGCTTTGACAGTGTTCTTGCTCACCTCTTTTAGCTTGTGATTTCTTTGGCAACGTGACTACGTTTTGTTTATCGTCGGTGTGAATGTCTTTAGCAATGTATCGTTCTTCATTCTTTGAGGAAAGGGCATCATCATTGCCCAGGTGTTCCCGTAATGCAGCTTGCTCAACTTTCGCTTCTTCAACTTGCCCTGTTCTATGAGAATCAATCTTCATGTCTTCACACTTTTCAGCAATCTTTACCTTCTTGGGTTTTCTGGACTTGGGTTTATTGGTATTGGTATCTGAGTGAGAGAAAAAATAAATAAGGACAATAATACAACAATACAAAGTATGAGAACTGTTACTCACGTTGTTGTACTTGTGGTTTTGACTCCGTAGGTTCTTCGGCTGCTTCTAAGTCTGAGCAAAACAATGGTTTAACATCTTCAGAGTCGTTGAGCGTATCAAATTCTTCAGGAAGATGTTTGTCATCTTCCCAGTCTGGATCAGATAGGTCTTTGTTTTTGTCAGCATCATTTTTGGATTGCGAAAAAGGACGATCTATGACCCCCTTGTGACCAATGGCCTTGTTGATTTTTTCCTCTGCACGCTTGAAAATCACCGATTCTTTGTCCGTAGGCGCGCGAGAATACATCACCCAGGATGTACTAGGTGAAGCTCCAGCAATAGTTTTGAGGTCTCTAGACGCCAACCTTGCCATACCATCATTTTCCATATCATTGTTATACCACACACCAGTCAACCCGCCAACGGTGCGCACGACTTTACACCAATAGTGACCATCCCGCCAAAAACCACGAGAGCGCATACGGTATGTCACACCCCCAAGAACCAGTTTGTACGGTAGGTCGCAATCAGCCATCATCTTTTTGGCTTCTGCAGGCCGTGTTCCCAAAAAGTAGGCGATGTCCAGAGTAATATTTAGATGTGGTGGAGGTGGATCTAAGGTAAGTCGAGAGGTCTCGTTGAAAGGGACCTTGCAAGTCTTGCAATGCCGTGCTGACACCCGTGGAATTCCATTCTCAGACCATTCCGTGAGAAGTGAGGCCGTTTCGGAATAAGTAAATTGAGATTCGAACAATGAATGATCTAAAGTGATCCTGTTTAAATGCCTAGTTTCGTCAGATTGATGTGATGGGTCAACAGGGCAGACAAAGTTCCTCTTCAGGTCAACTCGGAATAGAATCTGTGTCATAGGAGGTGACACAGGTTTCCCAGGGCGAGATTCACGATCAAAAATGCCCTCGAAATACTGATCTGCTGATGAGAAAACATCCGGTTCAAAGCTTCCTGGGGATCGCAGGGAAATAGCCGTGTGCAGCGTGTTTTGCCCAATGGACAAGATGGTCCTGATACTGCCTTTCTGGCTCATTTCCCATGTAGAGCGGGATGAAAACAAAACCATCAATTTGGCAAAAATGTGCGCTGATTTGCCCTTCGAGCGACTATACCACAGGGGGGTATGTAGGGCGTATAAGCACTCGGTCATCGCGTCAAGCCAACACCGATTTTGACGGCCTGGCGTCGAAGAGGCATAAAAGCCTTGGTAAGTGGTGACCGGATTGCGATCAACGTTCCGAGACCCTTTAGGTCGTCCCAGCTTCTTGCGACCAAGCAAGGCGTCAGTAGTGTCTGGAGGCCTTCCATCATTCTTGAATGATCGAGGGTTCCGTGACTTCTTTGCCCATCCAAGGGCCTGAGCTACCTTCTTGTAGTTCTTGGCCTGGCTACCATACTCAATTGGTATTCCCTTACACCGGTCTTCGTGGTCTTGTTCGAGACACTTGACCAACGCATACAACTGAACCAGTCCGATTTGCACCAAACAGTTTCCTTCGCTGGAAGGAGCAAAAACAAAAGATGTTTGTCATGTGCAATTGTCACCTCATGTCTTCTTGCAGTATGAGTGAAGTGACTTACGATATCATGTAATACACACGATGCATTGCCTCCTGTGCATTAGTTGTGGCTGGTAAATACTTCGTGCCTTTGAAAAGCATGGCCTTGATATCGGCAGCCTGCCACCATTCAAGCCATTTTTTTGCTTTAGGAAAAGCTTTGCGTAATTTCGCAATTTTTTGATCGAAAGTCAAGCCTCCAGGCTTTGTTTCCTTCAGAAGATCTGACGCATCTTGCTCAAAAGTTTCCTGTAAAGATAATGCATATCTTTTAGTAATCGCGTATGCTTTGAATCATACAATACAATGTCAGACTTACCTCATTGCCAGCTGGTATGATTGCACGATTTCTCTTTACCCGGGTGACTTGAGCTTGAAAATGCTCATGGCAGCCTTTGATCTTATCCAACGCAACTGAGCGGTCATTCTCTTGAAAAACGTCCATGTATGCCATGATAAAACCGTTTTTCTGCGCCACCGAAAAGTCTACAACCTGACGCACCAGCGTATCACGCTCCTCATCGGTGAGCTGTGCTTCCCGCATCTGTTTCATCAGAGTGGTAAAATGGGAGGCGTAGTGTTCTTCTGAAAGCCCATTCAACCAAGTTGGTTGAATGGGAATCCATCGTCGAAGGTCGTCATGATACATTGAGGTTGAGAGTAGATAGCCGTTGGCGAAAAACTTGTATGTCACATCCGACAGTAGGCCACCAGAATAAATCTCGCCGTGTTCGTCGCGAGATAATAACTGATTTGCCATCCATTGGGTTTGAAACGTCATATGGATGTCCTTCAGCAGGAAGGAGCAGGAAATCATCCTCAAGCCTTGCCTGAAGACAAAAGTTATGTTAATAAGATTCGTATCAAATGTCAAACAAAAGAAAACAAAAAACCCACTCGGCCCAATGGATAATATCCAAAAGAAAGCTGTCACCTGCTCCTGGTGCAGACTTTTCTGGTATGACCCCAGCGTCCGAAAGAAGCTTTCGCCGATAATACCCAATGCGATGAAGGTGGGAAAGGGCGGGATGAATGTTGGCGGCTGTGACAATATCCTTTTGGCCTGCAGGAGCACGTCCCACCTTCAATTGAGTGATTGTGGCAAATATTTTGTTTTTCAGCACATGTTCGGAATGCCTATTGCGTGGAGGACACGTACCTTGTGTTGCAACGGCCCCAAATCCGGGTTTTCCACACACTTTTGGCCAAATTTGGCTAGTGAAAGTTTATCGGGCTTTCCTCGTCGTGGCCATCGATGAAGATGAACGCCGGAGTGACGTATGATACCCCAGCCACTGCGGTGCTCGTCCATGCGACATAGAGTGTTTGCGCATTGAATATGACGAAGATCACCATCACATCGAGCAGCTTCACACTTCTTAGTTCTAGCCCAATAAAATGATAATATTAGTATGGACTTTGTACAATTTGACGCCTAGTTACAGCCAAACTCACTCTGACTGATATTCCAGTCTCTTGTCTTTTGCTGTGGGAGGCAAGCCGAGGTAGTCGCAATCAGGGTTGCTACATACAATGACGCCTAAGCACTTGAATCTGACGGTTCGCCAGGTGGCGGTATTGTTCTTTGTTCCCCCACCGGAAGTCGTATATGTAAATGCGAACGTGCCCCAGTTAGTGAGCTTTGGTTGGCCTGGCTGCCGGACATATACGGTATTTCTGTTAGGAAGAATAGGATATCCTTGGTCGTCGACAGTGGTGTCATCATCGATGAAGGTTTCGAAAGAGGCACGGTCGAGTGGCAATCCAAAAGTCTTTTTGCCCTTGACACCCACTTTCTTAGGTTTAGATTTTGTCGGAGGTGAAGTTGGACTTTGCTGGGACTGAACCTTGGGGTCAACTGTCTGTTCTTCTTCCTTGATGTCGTCTTCTTTGTTGTAGAAATCAATTTCATCATCGTCATACCAAGCTTGTTGTAGTTCTTCGTCGGATTGACGATGGTCTTCAAAGGCATCATCTGATGAGTTGTTGCTACTCATTTTAAGTGAGTAATTTCCAAGAAATTATTGTAAAAGGATTTACGTGGAGAGATTGGTAGATGAGTAATTTGGAGCAAAGCAAATAATCGCACGTTTGATTATGAATATTAATCGTACATGGGGCTTCTCTCTTCTCATGTTTGATACCCTTTTTTGGTACGCCATGTTTCCTGGTCGCCGGATCCAGTGGGCATCATTAGATCCATATGTTTGGATTCAGAGCATTTGGCTTGATTTCAATGGGATTGAAATCAATCCGATTGAATTCGTGTCATTGAAAATATGAGTTTTGGTCGAATGAGAAACTCCAGTTGTCATGGAGAAGCTCGAGTCGACTTCCCTTTTGAGTGAAGTTCCTTTTCCCGATTCAGTTTATCGGATGACGAGTCATTCCAAGACAAGGCCTCAATCAATACGTGGTAGATTGGAAACGGGATCAATCCGTTACGATCTCAATACATCAATCTTTTAAGGATTGGAATACTTCAATCCCTTGTGGATTGGAAAATTTTTGATTGGAATGTTCACTTTTGCAACAATTAATGGTAATGTCTGCAAACGATGTGTTGTAAAATTCAATAATATGGAAGGTTTCTATGTCTTTCATATGTATATGAGACCCGAACATTAGTCGACGTAAATGTTCGGATGGAAAATTCAACATTGTATGTACAGGAATCAAATTTTTGGATGGTTTTTTTCCGACTGTATTTTTTGCGAACTACAATTTTTTATTTATTGTATGGAAAATTAAAGATTACCCCGGAATTCTATAATTTTCCAAACATCACGTTTTCCGAACAATAATGTTTGGAAATGGATGTTCGGAAAAATTGCACACCCCGTATTTTACTTGCACTAGTCTCTTATACAGAAGCGCTTTATCAATTTTATAGTTGTTTCTTTCATGACTTCTGTTCTATTTCCATAAATCAAAAACCATTATGTTTATTCACGATCAGCATCAACCAGGTGTCGGGGAGCATTCGAGGATCATTGGAAATGGGCGAAACGATCCCCGGGCGAAAAGTCTCATGTACAAGACAGCCTGTACAAAGTCCGTGCAAGAGGTACAAGAGGTACAGCGCAATTCAAAAATATAAGCCACTCGTGAGGTGGCTTGAGCCTCCGGATCGTGGTGGCCGAGTCTGCGGTGGCCTGGCATAGACCTCGATGGTATACCAGATCATCAATGATGATAATGATAACATTACGACATAAAAACATTCATCCTTTGCTTCGATTTCAAGTGTATAGATTTAAATCAATACGAACGATTTTTATCTATCTCGTATGAAGAACAGATGCATCCCACTTTTTTAGACTATTCATCATGAAGAATCATCATATAGGGTGGAGGAAGATGGTGTTAAATTTCATCCAAGTCTTTAGGATACAAAACCAAACACTCGAAGATTTGAATCATTTCAATATGCTTAAGCCGACATTTATTAATCCAAGCTTTATATCAACCTGGAAATGAAACTAAAACCCAATCAGGTATTGACCGTTCAAAGAAGTGGAGCCAAAAACTTGTAAGCAAAAAAAAACTTAAAAACAGAATATATAAAGCTGGTCTTTATAAATCAGACAAAGCTTGATCAATTCATTTCTCAGCCAGATGTTATGCAATCTGACGACGTTAGCAGAGGTCATTGTTTTCTCCTACATATGTATGCTATCTTGATAGTCGCGAGCCGGAAGTGAGCGAGTTTCCGATTGCTACCAGTACTACATCCAAGGCTCAAGCCATCTTCCTATGTAACAATACAGGAAGGTGGCGTCTTTGGGATACTTTTTGCCCATTTGCCTTTTCGCCCGCTTTCGCCGGATTCCAACAATAATCAAATTCTCTGAGGTGTCGTTTTACAAACTTATCAAAGTCCCTCGCCAAAGGCCCGAGGCTTGAGCGAGGGACTTACCGCTAAAAAGAAAATCGTGGCCTGAGAAGTAGCCTGTATTGGCTCAAATGTTGCTACTTCAATATACCTGTTTTGTTTGTAAATGAACAAGGCTTGAAGCAAAATAAAAGTAGGACCAAAAACGTCCATTACATACATTGCAACTGCAAGCTCCACCATATCTTGTCTGGAGCGCCTGCTAGTGGGTGTTAAAAAACATGTCTTTTTTACTTTTTCTGACCCGTGAGCCCGCTTGGAGCCTGTATTTGGTGAAATTGATTGATCTTCAATCACTCAAAAGTGCAAGTTCCCAGAAAGATACAAAGGAGCTTGCAATTGGAGCATATGTAATGAGATCTTAATGTTATCTTTTTATTTTGCATCAAATATCGTTTCTTGTGGGATAAAAAAAAAAACCAATGTATGGTGGGTAGTGCCTAAACGCGTGAAATCGGGTATTTTGAGAAAAAAGTTCATGAAGCCCACAAAATTGATCCAATTTTGAAGCCGAGGGCAGATTTGGAATCCTCACATCGATAGGAATCCAAAATTGTATTGAACATGTTGTTTTTAACAATTTTTACAGTAGAGAAAGTTCTTTTCATCCAATGGATGTGATCTACTCACAATCTTTGGGGCGAGAATGAGCAGGAAGTAACTTGATGAATCCATTTCCTTGGGAGATGCGAGCTGCTTATATATGCGAGCGTCTACAAGTGAGGTACGAATAAGGAAATAGAGAGATACAATATGAGGCAAGGGATTGCCTAGGGATGAAGTACAACGATCGGTAAGAATGGCCGGATCCGGTATAGCTGGATCCGAGCTACAATTGGTAACAATAGTGATCGGGACGGATCTATGCGAGATCCGTCTTCTTGGAAAAGCAATATAGAAAAGAAAACAAAAGAAAGAAAAGAAAATAGAAAAGAGAAAGCACTGAAAAGCGCGTCTAGAGAGAACCAAAGGAATTAGGCGGACAAAGAGAGAAATCGGGAATCACATGGAGTTTTTGATAAATCAGCTTTTTGGCCGTACTAACCGGCCCGACATTACACGCTTTTAGACACTACCCACTATAGAGCTTTTCAAGCCAATACAGGCTACTTCTCAGGCCACGCTTTTCTTTTTAGCGGTAAGTCCCTCGCTCAAGCCTCGGGCCTTTGGCGAGGGACTTTGATAAGTTTGGTCGTTTTAGCGGATTTTCAATTAGTGGACAATTACAAAATGCACGCTCACAAGAGGACACCGAACGGTTCATTTCGAAGTTTACAGCGCTTCAAGAATCCTTCGGGTTTTTTTCACGCAAGAAAACGAAATAAATGTCCAAAACCCTCGCTAAAACCCTCGCTGAAACCGATTTTGTACTAGAATCTGTCAAATTTGAGCTGTCCAAATGAGTTTTTTCCAAGTTTTGTCCAAAACTTTTAAAAAAAGACCACCAAATAAACCGAAGGATTCTTGAAGCGCTGTACCTCATCCGATCAGGTCACGATGGGCAGTGAAGTGTGCAAACCCGGTGCGCAGGGGCACGCACAGGCATCAACAGGCTGTGCCTACTTCTTCCTTGACATCAAGTTGATCTTGGTTCTTTCATTTAATTTGTATCCTTCATCTTTACTTGCATCAATTTCCTAAGCACTACTCTAAAAACATTATCGTATCATCAAACAACCAAAATAACATATATGTCTTCGAATCAAGAAAATTGCCTTCGTCGTAGGAAAATCAATGACGTCTTGGAACAGGAGACTACCACTACCACCGAGGAAGGCTGTATTGCAGAATCACCAATTTCTGATAATAATCAACTCGAACAATCAAATGAAACAATCAATCATATCAATAAACCCGAAGATTCAAATGAATCAATCGAGCATATCAATAAACCAGTTTCCCCAATCTTAAAATCATCAGACGATTCTCAACCAGAAGTGATTTCAGATCAAACTTATCCCAACAAAACCTCTACCAAACCTATCAATTCTAATAATAATCAAGAAGAAGAAGAGGAAGCACTTTGTCGAATTTGTTTAAGTGGTCGTGATGATGAAGATATCAGTTTAGGTCGTTTGATTCAACCTTGTTTATGTCGTGGTACAATGGCTCATATTCATGTAGGATGTTTACAACGTTGGCGTTTGATGTCAAGTTCTACTAAATCTTTTTATCAATGTGATCAATGTGGTTATCGTTACAAATTACGTAGGGCTAAAGTAGTGGGTCTTGCTGAAAATAAATGGATTTTAGGTTGTGTGACCGTAAGCAAGAAATTTCTTTTATTTTTGAAATTTTTGAAATCAATCAGTTTAACTTTTTTCATAATCTGGTTTCTTTTCTTTAGTTGTTTTTATTTTCACTTTTGGTCACTTTGGCTGGATTTGCTGCTGGTTGGCTTTTAGAAGGACAGATGATGAGAAATATGACCAATGATGAAGGTTGGAGTTTTGGTTTTGGTACTTTATCATATGATTCAACTGGAAGATTTGTAGGTGAAGCAGTTGGTGAAGGTTAGTCAACATTTCCTCAACTTCATCTCCTCCATCACGATCTCTGATGGTTACTAATTTCGGTGTGAACTCTAGCGGTTCGTGTGTTGAATAGCAAGCTCTTAGTCAACTTGAATGAAGATCCAAACAAACCCAAACCATCACCTAATCGTAAAGTAGACCAAGAAAGTAAATTGGTACCTATCTCAAATGATCAAGAGTCGGTGGAAACCAATACCTACCGTTATATCAATCCTAAACGTAAAACTGGTATTTCTGCTCAAGATTCCCATAACGGTCATCCCACCACATTTAAACCTACATCCAAACCTTTAACCACTAGTCACTCAGATTCAAAAAACCCATTCCCTATGAAAATAAAAGAACAAATCAATTCAACCACCAAAAAGTTAGCCATCATCATACTAAAGAAACTAGATAGAATCTTAAAACACAGTATCTTAGGTTTAGCCTTCATAGGAATCGTCAGTTTCTTCCAATTAGTCATGTCATTAACATTTATTTCACCATTTAATTTTGGTATAAGACATTCAGTCTTACGTATGATTCGAAATAATAATAATAGACCAGGTGGACGTGATCCAACAGCAATTGCAAGTATGATGATTTTAACTTTTATGATTGTAGGTTTGGTGACGGCTATCAGAGGGGTTTGGTATTTTGTTAAAAGATGTAGTCATTGGGTTTTAAGAAAAGTTGAAGATTCGGTTTTAGATGTTCAAACTTGAAATCCTTTTTTTCGTTGTTGTTTTCGTTTTTCGTTCTTGTTTCTGTGTGTGTCTGTGTGTGTTTTACATCATTATTATCATTATCATTGATTTGTGTCTGTGTACATGAGTCGTCTGTTCATGTACTTTTAGTTCGCATCTTTTCTTTTATTTCTCAAGCAGCAGTTACCTTCCTTTGTTCTCAGTCTTCCAATTCAATATTTTTGTTTTCCATACCATGGTACGCTGAGTGAATTTTTAAGAAATTGGAATGATCTCTAAGATTGAAAATTTGATTGACAGAAACAAATAGATGAACCTAAATAATAAACACTGGAATTTCATAAATTGAACAATAAGACCAGTGATTGCATTTTTTTGCAATCTGTTTTCAAGCATTGTGATCACTCGCTCGTATTATTAGGTCATGAAGTTCCATGAGAGGTCTCAAAAGTTTGTAATCCCCTCCAGGGAAGCAACACGTTGTTCGGACAAGCCATACGATTATAATAAACGTAGGGGAGCCGCATCACAAGACACCACAACACCACAGAGTACTGGGTACAAATTGCAATTGTGAATCATGAGCAAAATCAAAAGCAAGTCCAAGGAAAAGGAGAAGCATTGACAGAGCAAAGGGAAAGAAACTAACTTGACTTTTATCAAGAAGAGATCAAAGAGATGTACCCACCAAGCCTTGGCCCTCAGCAATGAATGAAGGATGTCAATTATGTAGCACCACAAAACACTCACGAGCGGTGGACAAAGAAAAGAAACAATTGCTTGATTGAGCTGAACATGATCCTAAGATCGGGACTTGGGCAAACATTGAATCTGTGCTGAAAGCAATTCCAGCTTAGATATCTTCTTTACAAAAATGTGTTATGGCAACAATTGGATGAGGAATGACAAGCCACATATAAAAATCAAGTCAAATCAACAAAAGTAAATTCACTCTTGAATCCAATTCCAGCTGGACAAGAGTTCCAAGTTGAAGCACCAGTCTAGATATCAAATAATTTCCATTCCAAAAACTTTTCATCTACCAACAAAATCATATTCCTTAATAATTGAAAACCCTTCTTCCACCTTTAAAAAAATCCGGTATATTAGCGGTGTACAAACCTACAACCCAACATGAAAACCCATGAAAAAAACCCATGAAAACCCAACTTCTTCATGGGTTTTTCTGACGGGTTTTTTTCATGGGTTGCCCTGGAAAGGTTTGAACGCCCCAACTCCTAAAACATGTCTTGAAAGTTGAGTCACAGGCCACACGCTGCTCTTGTCATCACTTGAGGCCTTAACTTTACTCCACATCTCTCTTTTTTGCATCCAGCTCAACCACCGCGCTTTTTGTATCGATAAAGGTTTTTCTTGATTTGAATCTCACACTACTTCAAGGAAATTTTAGTTTTGAAAGTTTCATCTCTTTTTGTTTGAAATAAAACGATATCTTGTGCTTTTTTGAAACAAAACGATCTCGTTTGCATTTGACTGAAAACAATATCTTCGCTTTAGAAGTATCATCTCAAAGTCTTAGAAGCCAACTTCAACAGTTTCTTTTTGAGATGAAACGATATGTTTTTTTATTGAAAACGATGTCTTCATTTCAAAAGTCTCATGTCAAAGGTCTGAAAGGCAATTCAGATCAGTTTTTGTTTGAAGTAAAACGATACATTGTGCGATCGTTTGAAATAAAACGATCGCTTTTGAATTCTTCAAATTGCAAAGGTTGAAACAAACCGAAGAGAGGGAAACTTTGAAATCAGCATACATCAGGTATTTAGACAAGCAGCATATGTTTATTTTGTAAGGATTTGTGTTATTGGGTGTGTTGCGTTGACCAAGAAGGGGTGGGGTTGGTTGAGTCTACATATATCGAACACAACTGTTTTTTTCAACAAACGGGTGGTGAGATCTAGACGATTTTGACCCATGTGAAAAAACCCATGAAAAAAACCCATGAAGAAGTTGGGTTTTCATGGGTTTTTTTCATGGGTTTTCATGTTGGGTTGTAGGTTTGTACACCGCTATTTATCTAGAAAGGTTTGAAAACCCATCATACATATACGTCTACAAATATCAAATATCAAAAACCAAAAACCAAACCATATGTTTTTTTCATCAAGACCAAAAAAAACATCATCATAAAACAAAACCCTGTAAGAAATCAAATCAAAAATCAAAAACCAAATTTCCATAACACGTTCCAAAAAAAAAACCAATAGATTCTAACCCCCCCTCAGGCATCAAGTGTATCCTAGTGAAAGACA